GAAAAAGTGTCCTCTCGGCGCTCGAATGAATTATTTCTGCATATTGATTGCCATTGTTATTGGTTTCCTCATCAGACAAAGGCTCAGTTAAATTTGAGGGAGTGGAAGCAAGTTCAAAAGGAGTTGCGGAAGCAACACCAGTGGGGAAACGTTATGTCTCTTAAACTCTGGACTCTCTGTAGCGCCTAAATTGACGGGGGATGACCTATTAAAGGGACTGCAGGAGGGGTTAAACAGTTTGAATCCCTTGGGGCATGTAAATACGCTATTGTCTACTTCTTTGGGAAATCTGGTGCTAATATTGATTTTATGCTTGCTTTTCTATGTAGTCTTCCGGCGCTGGAGAAAACAACAACAACTAAAAAGGATCGTTAAGACCGTTGCGCATGCTGTCCGTCACAATGCTAACAAAAGAGGGGGAGATGAAGGAGACCTGGCATGAAATGTGGTTGTGCTTGCACGCGAGGCATCCACAAGACTGGCTGGACTTTTCTGCAAACAGAATGTTCTGCCTGGTGAACTCACAAGGCCCCAGGGAAAACATTGCTTGCAAACAAGGATGTTTTATCAGTTCCTCAAAAGGAACAAGCCTGGGGCCTTGGGAGTTTGAAACATTATGAAGGAACCTGTTATAAACAGATGTGTAAGGGAAAGGTCATTATTGTGGGATGCTTGCGCAGGCTTAGGTGGCTGACTCACTGCTTTGGCAAAAGGCTGGCTTTGTTTAGAGGCTATAAGAATAAAGAGCTCGAGGAACTCGAGGAGACTACACAGCAACCAGTGTTCGTGTTTTCATTTTGTCGGCAGCACTTATGTTTAACTTTTTAATGTTTTGAGCTAATTTTTTTTGGGGGGGTGAGGAAGATCAGCCCTGAGCTAACATGTGTTGTTCATCTTCCTATTATTGCTTGAGGAAGATTGTTGCTGAGCTAACATCTATGCCAATCTTCCTCTATTTTGTATGTGAGATTCTGCCACAGCATGGCCAGATGAGCAGTATTTATATCCATGCCTTGGATCCAAACCAATGAACCCCAGGCCACTGAAGTGGAGCACATGAACTTAAACCACTATGCCACATGGCCAGCCCCTTGAGCTAATTTTTTGAGTGCTGTAATATAAGAAACAAATTTCTTTAGCATGTGGCTATCCAATTTTCCCAGCACTATTTATTGAAGTGTGAAGGAAGGATCTTTTACCTCTTGTGTATTCTTGGCATTTTTGCTGGAATTTAGTTCACTATATATGCCTGAAATTATCTCTAGGCTTTCTATTCTGTCACATAGGTTTATATGTTCAGTTTAATGCCATTATCTTACTATTTTGATCATTATACTTTTGTAGTATAGTTTGAATTCAGGAAGTGTGTTGCCTCCAGCTTTATTATTTATGAATATTACTTTGGCTATTCAAGGTCTTTTGTGATTCTATAAGAAGTTTAGAATTTTTTTCAATTTCTGTGAAAGATGCCATTGAATTTCTTTTTATATTTTTATTGAGGTTATGATAGTATACAACATTGTGAAATTTCAGTTGTACATTATTATTTGTCATTCATCTTAGAGGTGTTCCCTTCACCTTTTGTGTCCACACCCCAACCCCCTTCTCCATGGTAACTACTAATCTGTCTCTTTGACCATGTGTTTATCATCCACATATGAGTGGAATCATACAGAGCTTGTCTTTCTCCATCTGGCTTATTTTGCTTATAATACCCTCAAGGTCCATTCCTGTTGTTGTGAATGGGACAATTTTATCATTTTTCATGGCTGAGTAGTATTCCACTGTATATATATACCATATCTTCTTTATCCAGTCATCAGTTTATGGGCTTAGGTTGCCTGCAGGTCTTGGCTATTGTGAATAATGCTGCAATGAACATAGGGGTACATGAGTCTCTTTGAAATGCTGATTTGAAGTTCTTTGCATAGATATCCAGTAGTGAGATGGCTGGGTCATATAGTATTTCTATTTTTAATTTTTTGAGAAATCTCCATACTGTTTTCAATAGTGGTTCCACCAGTTTGCATTCCTACCAGCAGTGTATGAGGATTCCTTTCCTCCACAAACTCTCCAATATTTGCTATTTTTTGTCTTCATTATTATAGCCATTCTAACAGGTGTAAAGTGATATCTTAGTGTAGTTTTGATTTGCATTTTCCTGATAATCAGTGATGATGAGCATCTTTTCATGTGCCTATTGGCCATCCATATATCTTCTTTGGAGAAATGTCTATTCATATCACCTGCCCATTTTTTTGGATTGGGTTGTTTGATTTTTGTTGTTGAGTTGTGTGAGTTCTTTATATATTATGGAGATTAACCCTTTGTCAAACAGATGATTTGAAAATACTTTTCCCAGTTGGTGGGTTGTCTTTTCATTTCAATCCTATTTTCCTTTGCCTTGTAGAAGCTTTTTAGTCTAATGAAGTCACACTTGTTTATTCTTTATATTGTTTCCCCTGTCTAAGGAGACATGGTGTCTGAAAAGATCCTTTTAAGACTGATGTCAAAGAGTATATTGCCTATGTTTTCTTCTAGAAGTCTTATGGTTTAAGGTATTACCTTTAAGTCTTTGATCCATTTTGAGTTTGTTTTTTTTGAATGGCATAAGAGAATGGTCTACTTTCATTCTTTACATGTGGCTGTCCAGTTTTCCCAACATCATTTGTTGAAGAGACTTTTCTTTCTCCATAGTATGTTCTCAGCTCCTTTGTTCCCCTTTAATCCTTTAATGCTTCCTCTCTGGTAACCACTAATCTATTCTCTTTGTCCATCTTATAGTTTCTCTTCTACACATGAGTGAAATCATATGATGTTTGTGTTTCTTTGTCTGGCTTATTTTGCTTGACATAATATTTTCAAGGTCTGTCCATGTTGTTGTGAATGAGACAATTTTGTCTTTTTTATGGCTGAGTAGTATTCCATTATATATATACACGCACACACACATCTTCGTTATCCATTTTTCAATGAATGGGCACTTGGGTTGCTTCCACATCTTGGTTATTTTGAGTAATGCTGCAATGAAGATAGGAGTGTAAAAGTCTCTCTGATTGATTTAAAGTTCTTTGGATAAATACCCAGTAGGGGGCTAGCTGGGTCATATGGTATTTCTATTTTTAACTTTTTGAGAAATCTCTGTACTGTTTTCCATAATGGCTGGACCAGTTTGCATTCTCACCAGCAGTGTTTGAGGGTTCTCTTTTCTCCACATCCTCTCCAACATTTGTTATTTTTTTCTTGGTGATTATAGCCATTTTAAGGGGTGTAAGGTGAGATCTCAGGGTAGTTTTGATTTGCATTTCCCTGATGGTTAGTGATGTTGAACATTTTTTCATGTGGCTATTGGCCATTTGTATATCTTCTTTGGAAAATATCTGTTCATATCCTCTGCCCATTTTTTGATTGGGTTGTTTTGTTTTTGTTGTTATTTTGTGTGAGTTCTTTATATATTTTAGAGATTAACCTTTTGTCAGATATGTGATTTGCAAATATTTTCTCCCAGTTAATGGGTTGTCTTCTCATTTTGTTCCTGGTTTCCTTTGCCTTGCAGAAGCTCTTTAGTGTGATGTAGTTCCATTTGTTTATTTTTTCTTTTGTCTTCCTTATCCGAGCAGACATTGTATTCAAAAAGATACTTCTAGGACTGATGTCAAAGAATGTACTGCCCATGTTTTCTTCTAGGAGTTTTATGGTTTCAGGTATTACCTTCAAGTCTTTAATGCATTTTCATTATGGTCTAGTTTCCTTCTTTTACATGTGTCTGTCCAATTTTCCCAATACCATTTATTGAAGAGTTTTCCCTTTCTCCATTGTATGTTCTTAGGTCCTTTGCTGAAGATTAGCAGTCCATACATGTGTGGGTTTATTTCTGGGCTTTCTATTCTGTTCCATTGATCTGTGTGTCTGTTTTTGTACCACTACCATGCTGTTTTGATTACTATAGCTTTGTAGTATATTTTGAAGTTAAGGATTGTGATGCCCACAGCTTTGCTCCTTTTTATCAGGATTTCTTTGGCGATTCAAGGTCTTTGTTGCCAAATATGAATTTTAGGATTCTTTGTTCTACTTCCAAGAAGAATGACATTGGAATTTTGATTGGGATTGCACTGAATCTGTAGATTGCTTTAGGTAGTATGAACATTTTAAGTATGTTTTTCTTCCAATCCATGAGCATGGGATATCTTTACATTTCTTTATGTTATCATTAATTTCTCTCAATAATGTCTTATAATTGTTCACTCCATAGGTCTTTCACTTCTTCAGTTAAATTTATTCCTAGGTATTTTATTCTTTTTGTTCAGGTTGTAAACAGAATTGTATTCTTGAGTTCTCTTTCTGTTACCTCGTTATTAGAGTATAAAAATACAACTTACTTTTGTAAGTTGATTTTGTACCCTGAACTTTGCTGTGGCTGTTGATTATTTCTAATAGTTTTCCAATGGATTCTTAGGGTTTTCTATGTATAAAATCATGTCATCTGCAAACAACAAGAATTTCACTTCTTCATTGCCAATTTGGATACTGTTTATTTCTTTCTCTTGCCTAATGTCTATGGCCAAATCCTCTAGTACTATGTTGAAAAAGTGGGAAGAGTGGGCACCCTTATCTTCTTCCTGTTCTCCAAGGGATGGTTTCAATCTTTCCCCATTGAGTATGATGTTGGCTGTGGGTTTGTCATATATGGCCTTTATTATGTGGAGCTACTTTCCTTTTATACCCATTTTATTGAGTTTTTATCATAGATTGGTGGCAGATCTTGGTAATGTTTTTGCTGCATTTATTGAGATGATCATGTGGTTTTTATCCCTCATTTTGTTAATGTTTTGTATCACATTCATTGATTTGGGGTTGTTGAAACATCCCTGTGTCCCCGGTATAAATCCCAATTGATCATGGTGTTTGATCCTTTTAATGTATCGCTGTATTGGGATGCCAATATTTGGTTGAGGATTTTTGCATCTATGTTCATTAGAGATATTGGCCTGTAATTTTCCTTCTTTGTGTTGTCCTTGTCTGGCTTTGGGATCTGTGTGATGTTGACTTTGTAAAATGCATTAGGAAGTATCCCACCTTCTTCAATTTTTTTTAATAGTTTGGTAAGGATAGCTATCAAATCTTTGAATGTTTGGTCGAATTCTCCAGAAAAGCCATCTAAATCTGGACTTTATTTTGGGGGAGGTTTGATTACTGTTTCAATCTCTTTACTTGTGATTGGTCTATTCAGATTCTCCGTTTCTTCTTGATTCAGTTTTGGAAGGTTGTATGAGTCTAAGAATTTATCTATTTTATCTACATTATCCAATTTGTTGACATATAGTTTTTCACACTAGTCTCATAATCATTTGTATTTCTGTGCTATCTGTTTTAATTTCTCTTGTTTCATTTATAAATTTATTTGAGCCTTCTCTCTTGTTTTCAACGAGTCTGGCCAAGGAGTTGTCAATTTCATTTA